AACCCATTACTTCATATACACGCCTTTTAACGCCTTTTTCACCCCCCCCCCCTTTTTGTTGTCTCAAATGATGAAAAAATGCCTTATTTAGGCCCCAAACACTTGATTTTGTTTGAGAAATGTTGTTAAAAAAAGTGACCTCTTTTTCGGCGCGGCCCCCAACCAAAAGATACATCAGGGGGTTGCCAGAAGGGGGATGTGCCCCCTTCTGTTTGGGGGGTTTGAAGGGGGGCGGAGTCCCCCTCATCGCCAAGAAAATTTTGGACTTGTGAGAGGCTGTAAATGACCCCAGATTGATCATAAGGTAACGTGTAACCAACGCTGAAAAGCATTTGACTCTATCTCAATCCATTGAGAAGTTGCAGCACTTTGAAATCAATTTTGATGGAAAAAATCAACGCAAAATAGTGATTTTTGGCAATTTTGAGATGTCCCCTCGTTGCCATGGTAACAGAAAATTTAAGCCTGAGCATGTTGTTGCAAGGGCAATGGTCCAGTCAACATTTGTGCCAAGTTTGATTAGTGTTGAAGCAGTTTTTATAGTATTATAGCAATTTGAACTTGTAACGGGAGACTTTTCAATGAAAACAGCCATTTTTCACAAAATGCTCATGAAGCAATGGGTTAATGAAAAAAATAAAAAAATCTACAAAACAACAATTTTTCATCAAATTTATATGACAGGCCATGTTTAAACATGAAAAAACGCGATTTAGGGTAATTTCAAGTATTTTCATCATTTTCTGTTAACCCATTACTTCATATACACGCCTTTTAACGCCTTTTTCACCCCCCCCCCTTTTTGTTGTCTCAAATGATGAAAAAATGCCTTATTTAGGCCCCAAACACTTGGTTTTGTTTGAGAAATGTTGTTAAAAAAAAGTGACCTCTTTTTCGGCGCGGCCCCCCAACCAAAAGATACATCAGGGGGTTGCCAGAAGGGGGATGTGCCCCCTTCTGTTTGGGGGGTTTGAAGGGGGGCGGAGTCCCCCTCATCGCCAAGAAAATTTTGGGCTTGTGAGAGGCTGTAAATGACCCCAGATTGATCATAAGGTAACGTGTAAGCAACGCTGAAAAGCATTTGACTCTATCTCAATCCATTGAGAAGTTGCAGCACTTTGAAATCAATTTTGATGGAAAAAATCAACGCAAAATAGTGATTTTTGGCAATTTTGAGATGTCCCCTCGTTGCCATGGTAACAGAAAATTTAAGCCTGAGCATGTTGTTGCAAGGGCAATGGTCCAGTCAACATTTGTGCCAAGTTTGATTAGTGTTGAAGCAGTTTTTATAGTATTATAGCAATTTGAACTTGTAACGGGAGACTTTTCAATGAAAACAGCCATTTTTCACAAAATGCTCATGAAGCAATGGGCTAATGTACGGCTTCTCCCTATATGAAATTATTCATCTTCTTTAACTGAAAAAAGTTGATGTCATTCGTTTTGATACATTTATTTATAATATCATGTACAAATATGTTATCGATACCAATAGATAAAGTTAGGTAATACAGTGCATATGCAAACAAACCGATCATATTTAAGATAATACAAGTGTCATCATATACCTTAATTTATCTACTGTTAATAACTTAATATGAATAAAAAAGCAATATTTTAACAAATCTTAGTGACTGTACAAGTTCGAATAGTACCATTTTCTTACTAGGGACAAATATACTAATTAAGACAAACAGACGGAAAGACAGACAGACTGAAAACTTTATTTCCACTACTTCAAGGTATTTTAAATACAACATGAGGATATGCAAAAAACACACAAATTAAGCAATAAATGGTTCCGGTAGAGATCTTCAAAAGAAAAAAAAAGAAAAAAGTAAAACATCTTTTATGCATTCAGTATCATATATGATGGGGGAATTCACTCCATACATACAACTTTATACATACGCTAAATAGTTATACAATAAGTACATAAATTATGTACTGACATGAAATAGAAAAAAAACCGTGAAGCGTCAAATTCACAAGTCATTATAAAAAGAGACATTAAAGCAATTCACCTGACAAAATGAAATTGACATAAATTCATGTACATATTTATAATATATATAGTTGTTGGTATTGTGAAATGCTGGTAGGACTTAAACTGCTTATTCTGATATCTAAAATAAATAAATAAAAAGGAATAAATCGTATGATTTATCAAATCTATTTTCGTTCACGTAGTATTCATGATTTGCGTATTTCGGTTAACTGAAAAAAGGGAGAAAGTTTGTTTTCAATTCTTAACATAGACAGCAAAGTAACAGCTAGAGACGGCAATGAAAAGGTGTGTTATCGGTCAAAAAAGAAAAAAACCGGCCCCTACTGTAGACTGAGTATTATGTTAATCTTTAAACCTCATTACAAACATAGAATCATAAAATAAGTAAGTTTTGAAAAGTAAACTTACGTCGGAATTAGTTTTATAAATGCCTACACAATCATGACTTATGCTTAATTTCATAATATAAATGTGGCAGTATAAGCGTGGAAACAAAAGATTCGTTTTGACTGTTAACTGTTCTTTGTTGGGTATGTGATAAAATATTATATAAAAATAGCTTCATTACTAAATTTCTCTAATTTGACGAGGCTCGCACAATATTATTTTATTCAGTTCGTTCAACAAATTCAATATGGAACCTACCCTCATTCATTGCCGTCTATTCAATTATATTATGATAAACACAACAGCTGCTATGGATTTATTAATGCCGTATATTAAGATTTTTCTTTCAATTCAAACAATCATGTTACAATATATGTAAAGTCTTTATATGCACGTTAATTTCCACAATAAAATATACAATGTTGGACGGTATCTCATTTTTACTTATGACATTGTTTCACTTGAAGTTCAGAAAAAACGTTTTTTGAAGATATGTACCAAAATATCATAAATTACAAGTAAAACCATTAAGATGCTGCAATATTCACAACAATGACTTAGATCGTTAAGTCATGCGATGTATAACAGCAACAACAGTATCGATTTATACATACACAGCTTGTTTTGTCAATCAAAAAGCCACCTCATATACACCTTAGTTAATCGTTTACCGGCAATGGAGAAGAGACGAGCATATACGGAAGTAAAATCAACATACCAAGCAATTGTATTTTAGATCGCATTTTACTTATTATAAATTCTTCAGCAATCACATAAAGAACACTAATAATATAAATATAAAAAATGGGCTACAAAGAAAACGTAAGCTCTAACCTTTAACTGGTGAACGGTGTAGATGAAAATGGTGAAATATAAAACTAAAATTAAAACTATTCTCCGTTTTAAACACTGTATAGATATCCTCATTTTAAGGCGCACGATTGTGCAGTGTTAACAACTACTCAATGATATCATTCGTATTATACGTAGTGGTATATCGAGTCACGTATTAAAATATGTTACCTACTTACTGACCATTGAGAAAACATGGTTGCGTAACCGGTGAAGCAGATCACTGGGTACGGATAGGATATCGACCGAGTACATCGATCACAACTCAGATTCTATTGTAAACCCTTTTTGTTGCATTCATTTACTGCAATTACGCAGGTATATCTGCTAAAGAGTTTGGTAAGTTATTATTATTATAATTATTATTATTATTATTATTATTATTATTATTATTATTATTATTATTATTATTATCATTGAAATGTTCAATAAAATTAAACAAGAACCATTTTAGAGGTTAAAACATTAATTGACGGCGGAACTACTAGTACAAATAAACAGCTGAGATAACGTTTGTGCTGCTGCTCTCAGTTTAAATCGTAACAAGCCTGCATCGCCAAGTGACAATTTTGTTGAAAATATTGATATTTTGGTGGGACATATAACAGGTTTGTTTAATATTGTTTATCATTATATTGTTTTATTTTTATTTCCCAGAATTGTGGATGGAAGGTTTTATTGTCCTTCTGCAAATTAATATTGGGAATAAAACCTAGTAACAATGAGGTGTATGGAGAATTAGGGAGATACCCCTGACATATCAAACGATACGTACAAATCATTTAATTTTGGCTTAAGCTTGTACATATAGATAATATTATATAGAAAGAAATTCATTGATATATATTCAGTAAGCAATAAAGTAATTAGTGTAAATAATTGGGTTCAGAATGTCAAATTCATTTTAAATGAATTTGGCTTTTCTTATGCGTGGGACAACCTATTAAATATCAAAAGTAGTTTTTATTTTCATCTGAATTTAAGCAAAAAGTTATTGACTGTTTTAGGCAAAATGGCATTCAGACATAGAAAACAATATCGTTCTGAACACTTTACTAGTTATATCAAAACAGACCTTTGCTTGGGACCATATTTAAGGAGAATAAATTGCAAAGCTATACATGTATGAATATTTGTAGAATTAGAATATCTGCTTATAATTTAAGGATTAAAACCGAAAGATACAGACGAAATAGAATACAAAGAAATGAAAGAGTGTGTCAATAATGTAACTTACAAGAAATTGAAGATGAATATCATTTTATTTTTGTATATGTCCATGTTGTCAAGGTATTCGTTTTCAAAAGACAACGACCATAACCACTCGGCAACCGACGCCCCAATATGTGATAAGCTTAAATAATAAACTTATATTGACTTCCGCCTGTTCACTCACTTTATACCTTAAGATGGACATAATGTCATTTTCAGTATTCAGATTGCATATTTGTATAATTGTTACTTTTATAGACCGAGCAAATTGTAAATCTGCAAACGTGTGTTTGTTTGGTCATTATATTTTAACACGACAATTTATTTAAAAAAATGATGTATTTAAACAATTGTAAATGTGTAACCAATCTTCCTGTTATATAACAAGTTTTAACGACAGAGATTATATTGATATATGAGTACCACTTAAACACACAACCCCTATGTCAAGTTTCAATAAACTACATGTAAATGGAAATGGCATAAAACTTGAAAATACGTGTTACATTTTGATAAAGCATTTCATGTCTTTGTTTTGTTTTTAGTTACCTTTAAATATTTTGTGCGGCAAACCAGCTCATTTTTGTCTCCGTTTCCTCAGAAATGTATATTGTTAGACGCCTTGGAATTAAAAGGAATATTTCTTATATCTTATTTTTATGTTTAATGATAGCAGTTTTTCTATATTCATCACCAAAGGTAAGTACTATTTGATATTATATATACAATTTTATTTCAGCTAACAAAACGATAATGAAACGATGCTTATTATTCATGTTAAAAATCTTAAAACGGAAGAACAATTAAAATATACAATAGCAATAATTATTGATTCTGGTGATGAACGCTTAAATGATAAACATTTAAATAGAATTTGACAAGATATCTATGAACGCTTAACTAATTTAACATTAACAGAATTTGACAAGATATCTATGAACGCTTAGCTAATCTAACATTTAAATAGAAATTGACAAGATATCTATGAACGCTTAACTAATTTAACATTAATAGAATTTGACAAGATATCTATTAACGCTTAGCTAATTTAACATTTAAATAGAATTTGACAAGATATCTATGAACGCTTAACTAATTTAACATTAATAGAATTTGACAAGATATCTATGAACGCTTAGCTAATTTAACATTTAAATAGAATTTGACAAGATATCTATGAACGCTTAGCTAATTTAACATTTAAATAGAATTTGACAAGATATCTATGAACGCTTAACTAATTTAACATTAATAGAATTTGACAAGATATCTATGAACGCTTAGCTAATTAAACATTTATAGAATTTGACATGATATCTATGAACGCTTAACTAATTTAACATTAATAGAATTTTACAAGATATCTATGAACGCTTAGCTAATTAAACATTTATAGAAGTTGACATGATATCTTTGAACGCTTAGCTAATTTAACATTTATTGAATTTGACAAGATATCTATGAACGCTTAGCTAATTTAACATTTATAGAATTTGACAAGATAGCTAATTTAACATTTATAGAATTTGACAATATATCTGAGAATACCTCATTTCTGCTGATATCAGATTATATTAAGATTTATTGTAGTAAGAAGTACGTTTATTCTTGTAATATAGGCCTCTAGCCCAGAATAAAACACAATACAACAAACATAAAAATGGAATGAAAAATCAATTAAGTTTATTTGAAACCATATAAGCCTATCTTTTTAGTATGTATAAAACATTTCTATTATTTTAAACGTATTTTAGGGCGCGATAGTAAAACAAGTTCTAATATCAGTCAGTCTTTTCTGAGTTCGGTTCCTGGAACAAACCAGTACTGATGACCCCGAGTAGGGCCCGAACCTACGATCCCTAGGCTGCGTGACATACACCTTAAACGCTGAACAATGAATGATCATAACAATGACATATATTTATTCGTTACAAGTTTTAGTTATAGTCCTGCAGTCGGTAACACATTTTTGCAGAGATCTGTATATCGCAAATGACTTGTATGGTTTAAGTCTTACTTTTGCACACACAAAAACGCTTTACCATGAACAACATAATGTACTATAAACGTAATGCATTCTTTCTAAATATTACGTCCAAGAAAACAAGTTTCTTTGTCATTGCTATGATTAATCTTGAACACATAAAATTATATTGTAATAATCACACTGCTAATCCTTGATAAAGTTGTAATTCTTTTACTGTTACAGTCATATTCTACATAATGTTATTGTTGTTTTCTTTGTTAACTAAACAGTATATGACGACCATTTCAAGAACATTTCTTTTAGTTGTGTTTCGTTTTGATAAAATCAAGTTATCCCTAATTTGTAAGGAATCATTTATCATATTTAATTTTAATAGTTATTTTGTGACATTGAAGAGCAAGAGGTGTTTGTAGAATACACCACATACATATTTAAAGTGAATTCTAAATACTATTAGAAATATATAATAATACCAAGATATTCCAACATGCAATTCATTATAGACCTTCTCCGTTGTTGTCTAAAAACTTTTTAATAATAGATTTTTGCAAACTGTCTTGCCTTATATACATGTATATGTTGAATGATATATACTCATGGGTCATGTGATCTTATGAATTTGAAAAATAAACTTATTAAACTTATCATATTAATTTTACGTGACCTTTGATAATTATTAACAGCAAGAGAGATACTCAGTCAGGTAACTACCATTTGTGTTTTCATACACAAAAAAAAACTGATTTAAAAATTCGATACCGTAGAAAAATACCTTTATGAAATATTTATTTTATAAGGTGAAGACAAATAACTTGAACAACATTTATGATATCAGAAACATTATAAAGGCATTTTAAAGGCAAAATGAATAATAATTTACGCTCTAAACGAGGTATGAAAAAATAATCATGTGTATAGTATACGTTTAATATATTTTTACATAATATGACAAAATTTCTCATACTGTACGACACGGATCCCTGATCAAGATAATTTAAAAAGTTACATGCCTCCAGATGAGCCAAAGCATTTTAAGAAAATCAACTTTAGCATAAATGAACTAAGATTTTAAAGAAAAAAAAAGTAAAAATTTTCACTATTCATTTAATGATATACATGTGATGTGCAACGAAAGACTGATTTTGCAGTATTTATATTACGTGAATTACGCAGTAAGTGCCATTTTTTCATATTTTGAACTGTTTTTGGTAATTTACTTGGATTGAACGTGTCGTTTCCGATGTATAAATTACTTCCTTTGTTCACTTGACAAAAACATTTTAAATACGTTTCAAAATTTTCCTGAAAATTAGCATGAAACTGGATCCTTGCTGTCTCAACTACTTGTTGATCTTTTTAAATATATCTATTTTAGCTCTGTTGCAAATGATTGCATTGTGTATTTTCTAATAGTTTATATGCCTATCATAATTTATAAGAGAATGCGCCCGGCCTTACATGGTTGAGTTTAACTCTACTTACTAGTTTGCCGTTGAAATAACATGTATTTGCGCTTTATTCTTCTACACGGTAAATGCGTTTAAGTTTACTGCAACTTTAATTTATAGCTATTTTGTAGTTTAACCACTTTTAGTACTAAACATGTTTCTAAAGTGTTTAACATAATTATATCAACGTTTTACGTTAAACATTTCTATTCATATCTGGATCCTCAATATGTCTGAACTTTGTGGTGGGAGGTCGAGCGATGCTACTAAAGGTATAAACCTCTCCGACCTATCGAACAAGCTAGCCGGGCCCAAAATCAATTCACCATGCCTCACTGAGTTGATCAATTCGACATGTGCAAATTTTATTCACATCGTTCCTTTACAGAGCTACACATTTTGAATATGAAATTATTTGATATCATTTAGATAATCATTAAAATAAATAATAAAGCTATATATAAGTTTTGGAATACTCGAGTGCAGATTTATAAATCGTATAATACTGTGATTATAAATTATCTTTTGAAATGCAACATGCAACATCGATCAATAGTTTTAGAAGACTCGAAACAAAAATCGTGAACAATTTAAAACACTTGAGTGTACAAGTATTACCCCGTGATTCATATAACATATTTTAGGAGTCGTAAATGTTATAATAAACGCATAAAATATATAAAATCCTTATCTGCTAAGTTCAACTGAGTAAAAATAAATGTGGGCAAATTTCAAATCGTGGGTTTATATCTCGCGTCTTTTTCCTACGTAATAGTTAGAAATAAAACTTTTTAAATAGCTCAAAAGGAGCGGCTGTAGCTGTATAAACGACAAAGTAAACATTTTAATCAAATATAATTTGTTGTTCACCTGTTTGTAATTTAATAATCATATTTTTAAATTGTTTTTATCATGCAATGTAAGAAGACAAAGAAAAAATAGAAGAAGGAGAAAATGATGATGATAATGATGATAATGATGATAATGATAATAATAAAGATAATAATGATGAAAATAATAATAATGCTGATGACCGTGATGATGACGATGATGATGATTATGATGATTATGATGATGATATATATAATGATAATTATAATGATGGTAAGGATGGCGTTGATGAAGATGATGATGACGATGATGATGACGATGACGACGACGATGATGATGATAATGATGATAATGATGATGATAATGATGATGATGATGATGATGATTATGAATCTCTTTCATGATATTTATGATTAATTCAGCTGTTCTTGTTATTTTTGTTTCAGAGAAAGCATTTCATTCCTAGACATTTTGATATCAGTTGTACTCAAAATGGAAATAATTCAAAGACAGCAGCTAATTTTAATGTACCAATAGATCTCGTATACTTGTGGGTAAATGGAAGTGATCCAAAATTCATCCTAGAGTTAAAACGTCAAAAAGCTTTAGAAAATCATGGCAAATACAATAGGTATGAATTCTCATACTCGCATTTTTATTTATAAAAAAATGTATTAAAACAATTTGTCTTTGAGGTGATCTTGTATTCGCATTTTGTATATCCATAGCATGGAGGTGGTTAGATGAATTTTAAAGGCATACGCTACAGTCACATATCACAAATAGAGGTAATGACAGTAACTATAGAATAAGCATTTAAAGAATTATTTTCTCTCTTTAAGAAATTTAATTCTCAAAACTTGTCGATATTTTGCCATGGATTACCTAAAAAATATTTTACTAGAAATAAGCACACAAAATTCAAAGTATTAGAAATGCTTTCCAACTCACACAAAAATGTAAAATCTATAAAAATTTAAATATATTTTTTTATTTTGTTTGCTTTTACGACGTACCAACACAATTTAGGTCATATGGTGCCAAAACAGGAAAGATGACTTTGATTATCTTCGGGTGTTTCAAAATTAAAGCAACAATAGGGGTCACAAACCACTGGAGCTAAGAGACCCATTGACTCCAATAATTCAAACCCATTTAGTCGCCTCTTACGATCACACGGGGATAAACGGTGGCTGCAATTCTGATTCGCAACTCCTCAGCCACATATACTGATAACAAGATAACTTTAAATGAGAGACTGTGTTAGGTTGGCTATTAATAGGGAGAATTATCACTAAACACCCCTTACACTTGTATGTATATTTACTGCAGTTCCCTAAGATGCAGACGACAATCAGACGCCGGAGAACACTACCACGTGATTGTTGTTTACCCAGTGTTACATTCAACGAAAAGTCTGTCAGGAAACGAAAACATTGAGTTTATTTTCAATGTCACAGAACAAGATATGGTATACAGCGTCATTGTTCCAAAACAATCGAATGAAGGTTAGAACTATTTGTGTACATATTGATAATATTCATACATAATAAATCCTCGTTTGTTTTCCCCGCCGTAAAATCGGAAGTAGGTATTGAAATGGCGCTTTCCGCCCGTCCGTCCGACTGGATCCATATATTAGAATCGGGTCATACGAATTTCTTAATTTTTTGACAAGGGTATTTATATGAATAAGCATTCATACCGGGCTTTTTGAGTTATATTCCTTTGTAACTTAAGGAGGTTAAGAAAGGTAGGCCATATTTTACAAATGGTTAATAACATTGGAATAAATCTCAGCAAGAATGGACATGCTAGTAAGGAGATAATGCTCATCAAATATCATCAAAATCACAACATGATGTTTTGAGTTATCATCTTTTAATAGTTGAAACACCAGGCATAGGAAGTTAATGTTGATTTTTTAAAAATATTGTTAAATTCTAAATGTGTATTTGTTATTTATGTTTGCAGATAATGACATTATGAGTACACTTACAATCATAGAAGGTCGATCATATATAAGTTTGTGTGGATACATTGTAAGTTTTATGATATTATATTTTGAACATTGAACGCACATCTTTATTGTAATAAATTCTGTTTGTATGATTCAGTGTGATTCCCTGTTGAATTTTTATTACCATATTCAGTTCAGTCCTAGGTTAAAAAGTAATCTGTAAGTGCGTGAAAATAAGTACTGTTTTTTAATGTCGATTGTCTCAAAGTTGTATGCATGAAATTAACGTTTTATTCATTCCGCAAATGATTTTATGGCACGTGATAATTTATCACTGATAGAAGGAACAGCAATTGATGCAGTATTATTTGGAGATAAGTTCATATGTCAGTTTTAGTAATATATTAAATAGTGCATTAATTGCAGATGTTTATTACATATTTAAATGAAAATACACTTTTATATTTCTATACATGCACTCAGTTGTTTATCTTAATAATAACTTTCAGATTTTGGGTCAACATTTTTCCTAAGCAGTTTCAGCTTCATTAACAAGCGGATATGACTTCAGTTTGGATTGAATTATCAAAAGTAATTATAACTTAAAAATGCCTCAACTATTATATAGAAATATATTACATATAATACAATGCGGACACTCCTGGTATTAATTTAAACTTGAAATCTAAACCTGTTGTTCTTTCAGACAAAGGAATTCTTGACAGAAGAAGGGAAAATACTCGACAACATGTACATTGTTACAGTGAAACCCCGTGATGCGTCCATGCAGGCTTTCAAACCAATTATTCAAATAACCAAAATGCTTGGAGAGGTATAAACTTAAATATATATATATATATACTTTCATATTTCAATCCTTCGACTTGTATGACTTAATAACAATATATTGAGCACTCTGTTCGTACAAAGAATGTACATATAAAAGAATATAAAGAATGTCTAAAGTAAAGTGAAAAATAATAATTAAATTCTTAAGAAAATTAAAAAATCTTTAAGAAAGGAATTTAAAGACAAACTCATCACTCGATAGCTAACTGAAACAAATCAGGTTGTTTTTTAATACTTATTTTATTTTTTATTTAAAAATGAATACTTTTCTTACTGCTGTAGGCATTTTTTACAGTTTGGTTTAAGCACGCGGATACATTGTAAATGTTAGGAGAGTCTAGCTTTATTGGTGGTGGGAGACATCTGTTGCCTCAGTATTCATTATTTCTGTCGCGAATTGACATCATAGCAAAAACACTGACGTTCCTTTACACGCATATCTTATTGTAAAACATCTAGAAAAGATTCGACCAAACACATTAAGAGTAAGTTGATGGCATCTCAGTGATCGAATTCGGAAATAATTATAGATAAAGTGTGATCCTTGGGAAAATTAAAAACAACAAAATTATATGAAAATTGTAGACTCGGTTTGATGAGGGATGAATAAAATGTTCAACATCCATCACGCCCCCTAACAAACAACTAAAAGTGCTGGAATCAATAATCCCGAAGGACCAGAAATATATTGAAGTTAAATACAGGTACTAGACAGTACTTGACAATCACCTGACTTGAGTTATATAAAGTAATGCATGTTTGTAGATGTTACATATTAATAGGATATCCAAATATGTTAGTCTCTATATCAATGTCTCAATGTCTCCTTACCTTTTATAGGAAGATTCCATATCAACAGATGATATTCAGGTTGGAAGTACAACACAAGTTCTTGTATACGGGAAGCTCAACAACAACAGCCACTTTTTTGATAAGGTTACGTCATTTTGTAGTGAACGATTTTTATACCCCCACCACAAAATGTGGGGGGGGGCTATAATGGATTCGCTTTGTCGCGTCCGTCCGTCCGTCGGTCGGTCGGTCGGTCCGTCCGTCCGTCCGTCTCCATTTTCGTGTCCGCTCTATAAATCAACAAGGGGATGTGCAGAACCCATGTTGCCCATGTGTCAGCTCAAGGTCAAGGTCACAATTGAAGGTCAAATATCAAACATTCAAATATTAGACAGTATGTCGTGTCTGCTCTGTAAGTCCTACACTTATTGAAAGATTTTCTTCAATCTTGGCTCAAATGTTCACCTCAACAAGGAGATGTGCAAAACCCATGTTACCTTTATGCCTGCTTAAGGTCAAGGTCAACCGTGAAGGTCAAAAATTGACTTAGAAAATGTTCTTAAATTTTAACATGTACTTGAATATTTCTGAAAGTAGCACAGGTATTTGCTTGAAACTTAAAAGATATATGAGGTGTCACAAATAAGATATGCAGGTTTCATAACTCTGTATTGCATTTTGACAAAGTTATGCCCCTTTTAAAGTCTTTAAATTTACATACAATCAATACTAGACAATATGTTATGTCCGCTCTATAAATTCTATACTAATGGAAGGATTTTCTTCAAACTTTACTCAAATGTTCACCCCAACTGGGCAATGTGCAGAACCCATCTTACCCTTGTGCCAGCTTAAGGTCAAGGCCAAACTTAAAGGTCAAAACTTGACTTAGAAAATGTCTAGTACATTGGGAAAATGAAAGGTTATTTGTAACTGTTTCGAACATGATTTGACAATATATATTTATACTAATACCTGTACAATTAGTCTTTTTTCACCAGAGATAATTTCTTTTTATGTATTTGTGCCGCTAAAGTTATTCTCTTAACCACCTTTCCAAGTCGTCTTCTGTCAAGGACATTGGTGGGGGTATGAATCGCATTCAGCGATAGTTCTAGTTTAAAAATAATTTGAAGAATCAATAAAAGCACATAAATCACCAGTAGCTAAAAAATTGTAAAACTTACCAGACCTATTCATTTACCTTATATATTGAAAGTGTACATCATTATTAAATGTATTTTTCTGTAGGAAAGAAGTATAAAAAATTTAGGATGTGTAGAATGAAATAATCTAATTGCATAATTTTACAACTTTCAGACACTAAAAAACTTGAAAGGGTATGGCCTTGAAATTGATCCTGCAGTTCTGGTTTGGAGTACTGATTCTGTAGGTATTTGATGGTTCATTTATCATATTTTTTATTCACCAAATGCAGTATAATTTATACCATTAAGTTAAATTGTCCCTACATTTTGATTTTGTGGATAAATCACAAGGTAAATGAAAATAATGATTCCCTTTTTTACTGTACCCTCTTCTTAATTTATATATTTGATATTTTAGAATATTATTTTAGTTTCGCTTCAATACTAAATTTATTGAACTTGTTAAAAATATTATGTACAAATGTATATTATAATATGATATTTTATGTAACCGGTTCAATAAATTCAGTATGAAACCTACTCACTATTCTTTCTGATTTTGTTATCTTGGTGTAATTAAATTTTCTTAATTAGTCATCTATTACTATGGAGAAACAATTCCTTTTATTTTACAATATCTATTTAATATTGTATAACAATCTTTCTTTCTTTTTGTAACAGCTCGTGATTAAAGGACTTCCACGAGCAAACAGGTTTGCAGAAAATGATCAACTGAAGTTTTCTTTGAGATCGGTGGAGAAATATGCATCTTGGATACAACATATCTATATCGTCACCAATGATCAAACTCCTAACTGGCTTAACACATCAAACCATAAAATATCTGTGGTAAATACAGAGGTAACGTGTTGTTCATTCTAGGCAGTTGTTAAATTTAAAACAATAATTTTTACTTGATTCATAATATAGTCAAGACTGGGTGCTTCGTGAAATCATGAAAATAATGTCGAAATGATACCGGAATTATTCAGCTTGATGCACGTATTATAAGAGATTTATTTGATGATTGATGTCCGCATGTTGTTTTCTATCTAACAATTTTTTAAAATAGAATTATTTAATATCCAAACACTTCCTTAAAGCTTATATCAGTGTGTTTATGTTCTGCCAACAAAACTACGTGTTATGTGTGAAGTATACACAATCTCCTACGCAGTGATCTCCCCTTACAGCAGGATTAGATCTCTGCCATCACAACATTTTCGTCAAGATTTTTGACGATATGAATTTTTTCAATTTTTATATTTATTTTAAAAAGTAAACACGGTTTTGCTAATGTTTCAAGACTATAATGTATAAGATGTAAACTAAAATAAAAAATAATTTCGAAAACTTAAATATTATCAATATTATGAGATTTTTTTTTAATTATGCACCGTTTCATTCCAAAACAATGGCCGCTTTTGAAAAAGATATTATTAAAGAAATTTATTTTTCATTAATTTGTATACTTTTGATAATTTTTTGAGAAAATATAACGGACGTAGGTACAAAAAGTTAAAAAATAAACAGAAAGAGAAAAATGACGTTAGATTTTCTATGTAACGGTGAATTTCGACGTTACGTCATGTGACTTTCATCATCATGTGACGTCTGTGAAGGCAGTGATTACAATTCTGCCAAGGGAGGTAATCAGTGTGAGGAGTTTGAAGTATACATTGTTCGATGTTTGTTCATTTTATATCATTATTAATTTGTAGAAACCCTTTATAATGGACAGAATGGTCAAAATATCATTATGTCATAATTATTTAACTTTCTTTTGATAATTGGTAATCTAAATGTTAAACATATTGTATACACCTATATCAAATTTCGTTTTTTGTTATTTACATAATCTTTAAATCATTCATCTGTTATATTTTCAGAAAATATTTCCAAACAAGGAAGATTTACCAACTTTTTCATCTCCTGCTATTGAAAGTCATATGCATCGAATTCCTGGTTTGTCAGAAACATTTATCTTTATGTGTGATGACTATTTCTTTGGACAACCCATCACTTTACGTGATTTTTATACAGAAGAGGAGGGACTTTTGGTAAATACCTTTACTACAAAACTATTCTCGTCAAACATTTGAAATAAGATAGGAAATATGAAGTCCTTTTTATGAGGTTGTCTTTTTAATTTCCTTCTTGTCGGTTTTTTATTTCCTTTATGTATTATTAAAGTAATCACCCGTCCGTGCTTTGCCTTGTGCACTGTCCTACTTTTGTTTGGTCTACTGGGCTCCTTGCCCGTGTAGGGATAGCGTTCATTGAACGTCGCCCTTCCTTGATGATCTTTTTTTTATTTATATTTTATATTTTATTATTATATTTGATATCATTATTGACTTGCAGCCACGGCTGCAAGCCATCTGTTTTGGAAATGTTGTTCCGGTAAGGTGTTTAATAATTGGAGTGTTACAGACTTTTTAATTACATGTTAAGGAAGGATAACCGGACAGGAACGAGCGACCATGTTGTAGCAATAAGTTTAATTCTGTAATTATTTCTTCATACAGATCCATTGGGGTAATCGTGTAAATCTATGCAATCCTTGGTGCCCTCATACTTCCCTTGGTAACGGTATATGTGACAGGGCGTGTGACAATACAAAGTGTATGTGGGATCATGGTGATTGCGGGATTATAACACCGGCACGGATGAAACGAAAATACCCCAACGGTCTGTTTTCTGGATCGTTGTATCATACAATGGGGATGTTTAACCGGTGTAGTCAGCAAGCAACAGACACAGTGTACTACCATGAACCTCGACATAGTCCCTTGTTTGTGAATAGACATATAGCTTTAGATCTGGAAAATGCGTATGTAGTAAGATGTTTCCTTTTTTGTTGTTGTAACATATTTCACATCATGGATACATTTGTTTATTACTTAGACTGCAAAAATGTGAATTTTTATCCTATCCTTAATATTCAATCTTCGTTTGTTGAATTTGTTGTTAAATTTGTTGTTGTTTGTTATTATTAAATTAATTATTATAAGTTAATAATAAATTAATAATAAATGTTGGCTTTAGTCATATTGGCACTGTAAAGACCATATACATGTAGCAACTTTCCAGCTTTATTTTTATAGGAAGACCCAAGGTTACCCTTCATGCATTGTTGACTTTGTTCACATTTTTATATTCAAGGTTTCACGAAGATTTTAAAAAATCATCAGCGTTCCACTTCCGGTCGCAGTTTAATGTGCAATATTCTATGGCATATCTACTATATGTGTCTTCTGCTCGTGAAGTCATGACAACAGAATCAATTTTTGATGAAATGGACACTGACAAATCTGGGTAAGTATAAATGAAAAATGTTACACAAAATATTTGACTCTACTGATGCTAATTTTATATCTTGTTTCGAGGTTAGATAGCTATTTGTATGACTCTTACAAATAAAGGGTCTATGTTTATTACAGTTACCTTTATACAGAAAGGTAGACTATCTGGCTTTAGAATGTGACTGTAGTTACCTCCCTTGGTGTTTCATTGGTTTGTTTAAAAAGATAAAAAATCACTCATGAATATAGATAAATCTTATATTTTAGAACAGTGTCGGTTGAAGAAGAGATGGAATTTTTGAATGATAAAGGTATTTCAAAGGTATGTCTATCAATTTACTTGTAATGAGTCATAATCAAATATGAAAAGCACAATGCAGTAAATAAATGGTATAATGTGCACACGTGAATATATAAATATATATATAAATATTCGTTTGTAACAATAAAAGTTCAGATACTGTTCCTTTATCTGATTTTATCTCAATAGAATATTATATTTTATCCATCCCCATCTAGAAAATATAAATGACTTTATAACTGCTATAAATTGTTTTCAAAAAGCCAAAAGAGCGGATAGTACCTCGACATGGACTTTTGATTCTTTCATTTGAGGACGTTATTCAGCTAGTATACGGGAATAATGCAAGGAAAGGCACCTAAGGTGTTTCTCCGCCAGTAAAGCTGGAAAATCGTCATATGACCAATACTGTGTTGGTGCGACCCCCAAAAATTGTATAATAAACTTAAAACCGCATTGTTTTTACTGTTAACTTCACTCATACAACATTAATGTATTTATTTTGAAAGTATTTTATCAATATATTGTCAAATTACATGATAAATATTTATTTCATATTCATGGTTTAAACAAACAATAACAATTGAAAATGAAGAGACCTTAAATGTAAAATAAATATGTTTCCAGCAAAAGTGGAATTCATTTGAGCTGAATGTACTTGTAGCTTTTATTTCAAAAGCAATTTGTAACAGACATTATTTTCAGACATTTTAGTTGTATGACGTTCTATGTTGCCTTGTATTGTTATTTCATGTCAAAGAAGATATTGCTACACTTATTTCTATCAAACAGGCATCAGTGACGTTTCTAATAGATAGTACCTTACAATGTAGTGATTCCAATACAAGGAAAACAGGAGAAAAACAGCAGGTACATGCAATATATTTGCATTCATTAGTAACATGTATACGCAAGAAAGTTAAGAGAATAGTTACTTTAAATGTAAGTAAAAGGAAAAAATATAAAATATAAATGAATACATTTATAACAATACCAAATTATATACATGTATATAGCCGTTATTTGTAGTATCAGCAGAAAGAATATATACGTAACATAGTTATTGGTTAGTATTAGCAGAAATAAATTATTGGTTATGAAAATGGTATACAACTTATACCCAGAAAAATCTTTTTTACCATTGATTTTTTTCAGAGACCATTTTAAAGGCCCATCATGCCCAAAAAATGCTTTCATTTTTATTTCTCAAAAACATGTTATTTTGTGTACTTTCATAGTTTCCAAAGAATACTCTTTGACCAATTACCTTAACTATCTTTTTCCTCTATTTCTTTTTTGGCAATTAGTACAGTCTTAGTGATTTGGTATTTTGTAAGGAAGTCTTATTACTACTTTTTGTTTTAATGTGCTTTTAACAATCATAAGTATATTAAGAATTATCACAAATTGCTTACAGATTACCAAATCCAGGTTTACACAATGTCCTGGAGTAAAAGATTTTATAAGCTGGACTGGAATATGGAAACCAAAATACAAGTATGTGTCCCATGCTTTTACCTGTACAATTTTTCAAGATAAGGACAGTAAATTATGAATTTATTTACAAACATATACATTACTACAATAGTACAAGAATCTGAAGACGAGACGATCCTTCGAAATAAAAAGAAAAAAACTAAAATTAATGGGTCAAAATGTCTATCATATTTTATGATAAATTACCATAGGAGCAATTTAAACAACATTTTTTATAAATGCCAAAACTGAGATTAGCAATGAAATATATTTAACTTGCAAACAATACTTACCATAAAAAACATATGCGAGCCATTTTCATTGTAAATGTTTATAAATTTTGTACTTATTTCTATATTTTTTATACTGGTTTAAAAGCATGTTGATTTGGTATATAAGAAATGTATTAACATTCATTTCAACTATCATAAATATGAAATTTATATGTTTCTTAACAAGAAATGTTATGATAAGGTCTCAGATCATCCGCAATTGAAAAAACATATTACATAATTAACATTTAACATTGATTGTTTGTTTTGATTGAGTTTTACGTCACACAGACACAGTATAGGTCATATGGCGACTTTTCAACTTTAATGGTGGTGGAAGACCTCAGGTACTCTAATACGTGCATTGTTTCAGGCACGAACAGGCACCTGAGTAGAACCACCGACGCAACGTCAGCTAGCTTGATAGCTTCCTCACATGAAAGAATCCAAAGTCCCTGTCGGGATTTGAACCCACATCGGTTAGGTGCAAGTGATTTAAAATTGATAAGATATAAAAGGATGACAGTGTTAAAATAATAGTGCATTATAATAAATCATTACAATAGTAAGAATGATATACATGTATGTGTACGTTTGTTTTACAGACATACAATTAAATCAGACGAAAACCTTCATTTTATAATGATTACCAATCATATAGGAAAGTCAAGAACAAAACTGTCAAAATTATCCGCAGATCCAAGGTAAATATTATTTTCTATTATGTGCAGATTTTTATGTCCCCACAAAGTGCGGGGGCATATAGCGTTGCACTTGTCTGTCCGTCCGTCCGTCTGTCCGTACGTCTGTCCGTACGTCCCGAAATCTTGTGAACGCAACTCCTCTTAAACCGGATGGCAGATTTTGCTTAAACTTCCAGGGATGAACAACCTTAATGTGTAGATGGTAGTAAAGGAAGGAATTTTTGCTGCGACCAAATTTAACAGAATTATGGCCCTTTGTTGATTTTTCACTATATACTTTGTAGAAATTTTGTGAACGCAACTTCTCTTCAACCGGATGGCAGATTTTGCTTAAACTTACAGGCATGAACAACCTTAATGTGTAGATGGCAGTAAAGGAAGGAATTTTCGCTGCAACCAAATTTAACAGAATTATGGCCCTTTGTTGATTTTTTCACTATATACCATATAGAAATTTTGTAAACGCAACTCCTCTTAAACCGGATGGCAGATTTTGCTTAATCTTCCAGGGATAAACAACCTTAATGTGTAGATGGTAGTAAAGGAAGGAATTTTTGCTGCAACCAAATTTAACAGAATTATGGCCCTTTGTTGATTTTTTCACTATATACCATATAGAAATTTTGTGAACGCAACTCCTCTTAAACCGGATGGCAGATTTTGCTTAAACTTCCAGGGATAAACAACCTTAATGTGTAGATGGTAGTAAAGGAAGGAATTTTTGCTGCGACCAAATTTAACAGAATTATAGCCCTTTGTTGATTTTTTTCACTATATACCATATAGAAATTTTGTGAACGCAACTCCTCTTAAACCGGATGGCAGATTGTGCTTTAACTTCCAGAGATGAACAACCTTAATGTGTAGATGGTAGTAAAGGAAGGAATTTTCGCTGCAACCAAATTTAACAGAATTATGGCCCTTTGTTGATTTTTTCACCATATACTTTGTAGAAATTTTGTGAACGCAACTCCTCTTAAACCGGATGGCAGATTTTGCTTAAACTTCCAGGGATGAACAACCTTAATGTGTAGATGGCAGTAAAGGAAGGAATTTTTGCTGCGACCAAATTTAACAGAATTATGGCCCTTTGTTGATTTTTTCACTATATACCATATAGAAATTTTGTGAACGCAACTCCTCTTAAACCGGATGGCAGATTTTGCTTAAACTTCCAGGGATGAACAACCTTAATGTGTAGATGGTAGTAAAGGAAGGAATTTTCGCTGCGACCAAATTTAACAGAATTATGGCCCTTTGTTATTTTTTTCACTATATACCATATATATGTTGTCGGTGGGGGCATCCGTGTCCTTTGGACACAGTTCTAGTTAACAATGCATTTCAAAACATCTCCAAACTTAGGTTTTATCTAACAATATCGTATCAAAACTCTGAAACTGACATGTCCGTTTTCTATTTTTGAAACTGTCCTTAATAATTTTGCGAAAATCAAGTTTAGTCAAGATCTAGTCGCACAGGGATATGTATTATATTGCACGGGTGTGAGTACTGAACTTCTGAAATGTTCCTTTTTTAAGTATTCATTTCTTTGGAAAAACGACATGTCGGCGTGAAACTTGAAAGTCTTCTTTGTGTCCACATAAGACAACGCGGTATTTTGCATGTTCATTGCCTGAAATAACAGATAGAAATAAACTTTTTGTGCTGGCAAACCACCACGAATTTCCTTATTCATTAATATCTGTGGGCTGGATATTGTATTAACTGCGTTCCGTGAAAGTTACTCCCACTTATTGGTGTTATCGTTTCTGTAAAGATCACATCGTAATTATATAATATGCCTTATGTTTATTTCCCTCATTAAACTATTTATTGTGTAACATTGCTCTGTTTATGTACAACTGTATTATATGCAAAGATAAAACTTTTCCTTGTTTATTTTAGGAAATTTAATGCAATAAATGACGACATGGATCATGGAAAACGGGAGTCTGTGGTAGCACAAGAACTGTTACAAAACTTCTATGAGAAGCTATTTCCTACTAGATCACAGTATGAATTGAGGGGACCATAATGATAACTTTAATGACTACTACAGGAGAGAGAACACTACACCCGCTTTGTCAAATCTGTCTCGTGCTCAAAATCTTTACTTTTATCGTTTACAACAGATTCATATTTATTTGATCGTTTATTTTGCATATATTTTCATTACTTTGATTTTAAATGTCCTTTTCATAGAAAATGATATGAAATATCATCAATGTATTATAATTGATATCTGATGACTGATATTTACATGTACATGTATGTTGACATTATTTTTGTTTCAAAAAAGATATATGAAAACTGATCTATGGTTTGAATGTATTTTTGTCGATCAATACTCCTATATTTAAAAACAAATTATAAAAAATGATATTTAGTTTAAGAATTTTTTCGAAAATATGATATATGAAAACTGATATATAGTTTGAATGTCTTTTTGTCGGGAGAGATACTATGAACACTAATATTTAGTTTGAACGTCTTATTTTTTGGAAAAAATATGTATGACAACTGTTGTTCAGTTATAAAATCTTTTTGTCAAAAAGATTATATGAAAACTGATATTTAGATTGAATGTCGTTTTGTCGAAAGAGATAACATGAAAACTTATATTTAGTTTGAATGTCGTTTAGTCAAACAATGTAGTAAAAAGATATATGGAAATTAATATATAGTTTTAAAGTCTTCTTGTCGGGAGAGATACAATGAAAACTAATATTTAGTTTGAATGTCTTCTTTTTCGAAAAAAATATATATGAAAACTGTTATTTAGTTTTGAAATCTTGTCGAAAAAAGATTCTATGGAAACTGACATTTAGTTTGAATGTCGTTTTATTGAAAGAGATAACATACATGAAAAGTGATATTTAGTTTGAATGTCATTTTATCGATGAAAGGTACAATGAAAACTAATATTCAGTTCGAAAGTCTTTTTGTCGAAAAAAGAAACTATGAAAACTGATATTTGGTTTGAATTTTTTTTTGCCGAAAAGGATAAATGAAAACTGATTTAGTTTGAAAGTCTTCGTGTCAAAAAAAGATTCTATGAAAACTGAGATTTAGTTTGAATGTCGTTTTGTCGAAAGGAGGCTACGAAAACTAATATCTAGTTTGAAATTTCGTTTTGTCAAAAAATATTCTATGAAAACAACTGATATTCAGTTTAAAAGTCTATGTCGAACAATACTCGTATGCTCAAAACTATATGATGTAAACAGATATTTAGTTTAAATGTCTTTTTGTCGAGAAAGACAAATGAAAACTGAAAAATCAGTTTGATTGTTTTTATTAGAAAAATATTATTTATAGGTTATTGAAAATTGTTATTTTGTCTGAATGTCATTTTGTCAAACAACGTATTTTAAAGATATATGAAATTTTATATTTACTTTGAATGTCTTTTTGGCCAAGAATATGTTAAAAGAAAATATACCGAAGCTAATATGTGAACGTCTTTGTTGATACAATATATCTTAGATGATAAATAGTGATACAGATATCTACATAAACATAATTCAAAATTGTTTGACTTTAAATATTCTTCAATACGAATGCTATTTACTTCATCAAAAATTAAAACATAGTTTTATAAATATGTTGTAAGTTCCATTGTAGTGTTATTTAAAAATATTTATCGTTATAATATATAAATATTCACTTTTGTCTGTTCTTTTCCTCGGAAACATCTTTTTGTTATGTTTGAATGTCATTCTTACAACAATTTTTTTCAAAATTGATATACATGTAACACATTTTACTCGATTATGATAAAGGTGCAAAGCTTTTTTTAAGCAGCTCTCAAGTCCGCTCCCAGGGCCGAAAGTCAGACAGTAGACCACCATTCTAACATTTTGTTATTATTTGGCGATATTATGACACCTGTTTGTATATATGCTATTTGTGTTGTCCTAAGATAAAAGGTTTTGTCACTGAAATGAACGCTATGTTCAATTGATTTGATCTGTATAAAAGACACAATTATTCCGGGGATGCTTTGCTTCATGTTTGAATAATATTTTGCCTGTATTCTATAACTTGCATATCTTTCACTTTCCTATAAAAACATGCTTAAAAAGGTTATGAATCTAGTTCGAATCTTAATTAACATTTATTGTATATTTTTCGCTGATATCAAAGCGGAATATCCGTTATGTCTTGTCTTGTTTATTTAAAAACATGATGTTGATGCATTTGATGTCTATCTGTATATGATGTATTTATGCATAATGTATTTTATATTTGCCAGAGTAAATATTAAATCTTTAAGTTCTGATTTACCATTGTTCTTCTTTGATTCATTCAATATAAATATATATAAAAGTGTAAGTTGCATGATTTCATTTGTAATGCAACCGAGAATCAGTTTGAGGTGTCATCCATAAGAAGCAACTGTGTACAAGTTAAATATAAAAGTTAAATGATAAAGTTTTATTCTTTAGACCATTATAATTTAAGCTGTCTGTTTCATAAATTGCCAGTGAATCGTTGTACTCAAATGTAACTTCACTGAGTACCGAATGAATGTCGACTCGCGAAACATTATCAGAATTGAAAGTTTGAAATAGCTTTTAGCATCGCCAACCATTCTGTCAGATCCAGCATCTTTGGTCCTCGTTATTTTGCAAGCCCTCTACATAATTTGAGCGGCAGTAGCTCACTGTATATGTGTATTCAGACAACATTTATCACGTGACCAAAAACTGTGCGTATTATTTATCATCATTTTTGGATCAATTTTATATCATACCAATATTTTATTAAAGGGACTATAAAGCATTTAGGCGAACTGTAATGGCAAAAAAGATTATGATAGCAATGTCACACTCACCAGTACATAGCCTTTAAAGTATTATTGTATGCCATTGTCCATCTGTCTGTCCGCTTGTCTGACAGCCCGCGCGCCCGTCTATCCGTAGACATTTAGTTTCTGCAGGATAACTTTTGAAGGGTTTCATTACTTGTGTTTATGTTTGGCATGATAGTATGGTATAACAAAACAGAGGTCAAGTTTTTTTTTGCTGAATTGAAAGAGTAACGCTCCCTTTCAAGCAAATATTCTATAAAATTATTGGTTTCCACATGATATGATTTGAAGGATTTAAATGATTGTATTTATGTTTGAATTGTTATATTTAAACACATGTTTAAGTTGATTTTTGCCGCAATTTACATATTATTGTAAGAGAGAAATGCCCATTTTGAAGCATATTTTGCGCAAACACAATTGGTTTCTACAGGAACTTTGAAGACTTTAACATTTGACGGAAGAATCATCATCAGTGCTATTTATAACAATAAATTTGCTATCTTTCTTAAAGGAATATTTTTGTCTGAGACATCTCCTTTTAAATTTGCCATTGGGTATATGTTACCCCGCCCAAGCAAAGATCTTATAGTGTTTTTTTTGTAAAATAGATTACGAATACAGTAAAACAAAATCAGGTCTAAAAGTGTAAACCGTAAAGATAATGGAAAATTTTAAATATTCTTCAAATATTTCTGTTTTGTTATTGCAATGAAAGTCTTAAAACTATTTGTTTAGGGGAAACAAAACAGTTTTAAAATAATTCAGCATCACCGAGCTTTTTGCATTCTTTTGACAGACGGACAAACAAGAAACAGAACAATGTGTTCTTTGACGGACACACAAACAAAGTGAACGCATGTAAGCTTCATTATAATTTAATATATTTTGTATATGAATACATAATTATTACATAATATTTAAATTCTTAAAACTTTAACATGAAATTTCGCGGAAGGATAGAACCAAATGAATACGTTTAATATACCAGTTTAAAGCATTGAAGATAATAATACTAATATTGTTATTATTAGAATTACAAAAATATAAAAGATGAGCTAATTCTTGAGCGTTTAGACAAAATGACGTCACAATCTAGAAAATAGTGCAGCGTCAGATGTTCTTCTAAAAACAAGTGTGCCTTTTTAGTATATCCAGATTTAAGCTTCATTATGTTATTGTAAATATACAAAGAAAAATGCACTATGCTTCTTTATTAATTATACAAGTTGCTGATGGGATAAAATGGGATAAAAAGGATCAGATAAATACGACCGGGTGGTGGCCGAGCGTTATATTTTCGTAAACAAGGATATATTATCTCGTAAATCCAGTCAGAAAAAAGATAATGAATCTATCTATAATCATTTAAATTCTTATTGACGATTATTTCTTTAAAAAAAAGTGTGTTATTCGTACGATTTGCGTTCTTTACGGTATATACGGCATAGTATATAAAAAGCCGAAGCCAATCAAAATTTCAGAATAAGCATTATTATAAATTGTTTTATGTTATTGTACGGAACATAACTTTTTCTGTCTTTGATTTTATTTGATATTTTGTTAATGTAGCAGTGATTAGACATTAATTAAATTACCTTCTTTTAGAGGGTCTGTGTTCAGAAAAGGATGTGGAATTTAGGCCTAACTTTGCAGTCCATTGACGTTATTTTCTTTCTTTTTTCAGTGTAGAATAGAGATTCCATTTAACTTTTCATGACTGCTACAGATTATAAAATTTGAATATCACAATAAAGTATTTAGTGAGCCTAAGAGGTATATTTGTGAGCGAGTATGCTCACTGTTTAGAATATGCACCAAATAAGATGTAAATCAGTGAATTTCAATGGTTCAGCTAATGACATGTATCATCTATATCACGAACGCTAGCCTTGAGTAGATCATGACTAAATAACTATGCTTGCACTATTTTTAGAGTAATTATAACAATTAAGGATTGTTGTCTAGAAACAATTGTACTTTTAATATATGGAGAAAACCTCCAAAATTTTATGTTGTATTGTAAATAATGATTCATAAAAAGTACATTGACTGCTTTCATTTCTAAACTATAACATAAACTTCTAACAAGCAAAGTGTTTTTCTTTACAAATCTAAAAGCACCCATTTTCATAAATAATTTTAAGAAGTTTTTTTTCCTTTGAATTTCACGTATTTGTCTCCCTTAGTTTTTCTCTAACTTTAATGAAGCTATTGTTTGAGATGTTATTTAGGAGATGTTTGGAATTGTCCAACCACTGTTTCCCCTCATGATAGTTCACATATTTAAATGACGTCACATTTCCATGTGGCATGTCGTCATCATTACTGTTTGAATATTGTTCATGCCAATGCGAGGGTTGTCCTTGCTGAATATCACTCATGTAACTATTGAAGCGTGTAGCACCCTTTTCATGTCTTAATGTAAGACGGACTATTTCCTGAGAATAGGTCTTTTTTTATCTTCCTGTGGAAGATTTATGTGTATATGTTTTGGTCCCGGAATATCTACACGTGGAAATGTTGGTGCTTTAAATTCACGAACTTGAATTTCAGAATGTGCATTAGCAGAAATATTTTCAGCGTTTTTATCTTTAACTGTTTACATCAATACTTTCATGTAAGGGCAATCGCCTTGCCCTTTCTTTGGATATTTACTACGATCTTCTTTTGAGGAACTATTTTGCACTGAATTACAAGTTGCGGAAGTAGTTGAGCAAGAATCTGAATCTATATCCGCCGTGTCATTTTCTCCATTTGGCATGATTGGAAGTCTTATAGTTTTATTTTGTTCCTCAACAAAACTGTCTTGAGTTTCTACTTTAGGTGGAGTAGTCGCTGATCTGTTAGACGCATGTCTGTGCAAAACATGTGCGGTACCAATTTCTCTGTTACTCCTTCTGCGTAAAATTTTCCGAGGTGTATCCGTATGTTTTGAAGTTTCCGTCCTTAACACAGTTGACTCGACGACCGGAACAGAATCAGTGAACGATGTTGCTAGACGTTCGGCTCGACCATCAGGTGCGACTGCAAGGAACCTATATAACTTAAACTCTTTCATAGGTTTATGTTTGGAATGTTTGCGATCTTTTGATCTTTCTTTAAAAGACTTAACACTTGTTGTGCTCGATATCTTAGAATCTCTTCCAGATTTCAAATTGGATGAAAAATTTGGTGTACTTTTCGTCGACATCACAGAAACACAACCATTAGTTGTTCTTGTATTATCAGGGTCCAGTTTATCTTCCTTGATAACCGTATTTGAACGAGAAATGGTAGGAACGCTGTCGTTTTCATATGTTACTACTTTTGGTGAACCTGGCAAGCAATTAGTTGTTCTTCCCCGCGAAGGATTTCTCCCGTTGGAAGAAGTAAGGTATGCCCTCTTATCATTTATGATCTTTTTCTGTGTATCTTTTGAACTTTTTGTCTGAAGAAATGCAATGACCTGTTTCATATTCAGTTTATCTGGATCATGGTCATTAATCGGAGTTGTGCTCCGTGGTAATTGATTTATATTTAGTTTATATTTTTTCCGTTTTTGAATCTGTTCAGCGCAATAACTCTCACGTACTCTTTGTAGTTCCATTTCTCCCGGAGTAAGTGGTACAGATCGCCGAACACCATTTATAGGTGAACAGAACCGTGAATCCGGCGATGAACATATACTCGGCTTTGGAAGCTTAGTCCGAGTATTGTCGAGTTTACTGTATTTATCTTTGCTGTCATCTTTGTACTCTGAAGAATGCAAAGATGACGATGATGATATTTGATCATTTAAATCCTGAACACTAAATTTCATGGCTTCTTTCATATCAGAGTACACTTCTGGAACTTTTTTCTTGGCGTATTTCTTACGGTGTCCACTGGGTGTTAGAGGTTGATCTAGGTAACTAGTTTTTGTAGTTATTTCTGAATAATTTGCATCAGAAAACACGGAAATATCGTCTGCCATTTCTGACCTGTGTGAATTTACAGATTTCGATTCCGACCTTGAGTCTGAGTTTGCAGAACTCCGTGTAACAGCTAGAACCGGAAAATTACGAGCACTCATTGATCCTTTGGTTAAACCTTTTTTATCTGGAGATCGAGCGTTATTATTGGAAAATGGTACCAACCTTAGAACGGTAGGTTGCCAAGTATCGGCCATTAACAACACTGTACTCATGATGATTAGAAAATACTAATTCTAAAACTAAATGATTAAAATCTAAAACTTTACTAGCACTACTAAAAAATAAACACGGATTGCGGGAGTTATCCACTTTTCAATTTTTTGTTGTCACTAGTAGATTCATTTAAATGACGTACAGTTCCTCCTAGCCCACTTTGATCACATTGTTTCACATATCAACTACAAATCTATGCTCAACAGCTCCATTGTTTCCTTCAAGTATTGTCTCTGACAGCATCGGTGTTTTCTTTTCGGATTTGTTGTCTTCTTCCATTTCTAAAGTTCAATCGTCAGTGTCGTTGAATTGTTTGTTGATATCGATGGTTAACTCTTGTCAACCTGAAAGCAGAAGTTCAAGTTATTTATACCATAATCCATTATTAAATTCATTGAAATCCTTTTTTTATCTCAATAACAAAATATTCTGCCAAAAAATACATGCAAATTCTATAGCTGACTAATCAAATTTGGCAAAAGTGATTACCCCGCTGTTAGATTTATACCATTGAGGTCAAGGTATATTTTAGTATGTGTTGGGTAATTAATCATTTAAAAGCTGCAATGTTTAAACAAGAACTTAATCTAAGTCTTTTTCAAAGTTACAAATTCTATAAGATATGCTTCTTTTTGAAACAAATTGAGTAAACTCAAATAGAAGCTCTATTAAAGACCTTACAAATGGTGTAACAGCCAGGTTGACACGAAACAATTATGTTGACATTTTAACTTATAGCCACGGACTGTTATCTAACCAAAATAAAGGCAATTTTGATCCTATGTTTTTCAATCGAAAGGATATTTATTAATAGATTTTATATATTTAGTGGTTTTCCTTTTCATAGAACGACGCCTCTGTATAAATGAAACCTGATCATATATTGAATGAAGCCAGCGAGAGAATGGATTGTAAGAGCACTTTGTATGGACAAACATTTTAATTGATGTCCTTTTTTATTTGTATAAAAGCCTAGAGAATGTGATGTTTGGTATTTTCATCAATATCCAATTTACTTTTAACCACTGTCAATCGGCAATCACCTAGCCATGAATATGATCAGTGAAAAGCAAACTAAAATTACTCGATAAATTTAATTTCATGATTAACAACGTTGACGAATGACATTGAAAGAAAAAAAATAATATTATGAAACATTTCTTATAGAAAATAATTTTTGTTCGATATGTACGCATATAGTTACTTTTGGGCAAGTAAGGTTCCACTGGGAACAAATCTACACATGTCACATTGGTCCAGTGGTTGTAAGTCCATTAAGCAACACATTGACGGTTCGTTCAATCAAACAACTTTTGTGAAAATGCGTTACAGATGTGTAACTTAGTTTAAGCTTAAATCAATTTGATGCATAAACCAATCACAACTTTAGATAAGAATAGCCTATACTCTTCCTAAAAACTAATTAAATTTAACACTATACAGTCGACTTTATTGAAAACACATTTATAAGCTACAATACCATACAAATACATGTCATCTTCGTAATTACTACTTTTGGGATAGCCGGACAACTGTCTATTTTGCTATCATTTTGAAATGATGTTTTTATAGATAAAATTATTTCTGATTTGCAGATTTATTGAAATTTATGGTATATTCAGCAAATGACTAATCTAACAATCATATAGGTATACTTAAACACATCCTTTTAACGTTTATAATAATTTAATAATAAATGTACAGATTTAGGTAAAATGTATTTTAAATATATTACTGAATTTTACGAAAGGCAAATTAATATGTAAATATATATGATATATGTATGCACATACACCAGAAACCTGTAAAATTAATCCTGAATATGTAAATTATATTTAATCCGAACATTGTTTTATATAGAGGATATTGAATGAGTGTAAGTTTAATACTGAATTTATTGCACGAGTTGAATAAAATTATATTATGCGAGCCTCTGGCGAGCATAATATTATTTTATTCAACGAGTGTAATAAATTCAGTAATGAACTTACACGAATTTAATATTCTATTTATCACATACCCAAAATAAAGACCGTTTAAATTGAAATAAGAGTCATTTTCATTGACGCGCCTATAGTATAACGCTAACATTCAGCGTGTCTTTACACTATGTTTGTATAACGCTTATGACGTCACGTCAAAATATATGCACGGCCGTGCAATACCATTTTTACGGAGTCGCAAAATCGGCACGGGTGTGTGATAAAGTCATATAATACACGATATATTTACAAGCGCGTTCTTTCAAAGTTGAAGCTTTGATTCCAGCGTAAGTTTGTATAATTAAGATTGTCAAATAATTGTTAAGAGTATTGATATTCTGAATAATTGATCCTTTAATCCATTTATCACATCCAATGATATTTGCTGGACAGAAATTGTCGTTTATTTAGTGGTCATTCAACTTTTCTCTGTTCGTTACAAAATCATTCTGCGATTTGTAATTCCATTGCCATAAATGTTTCGCAGTAATCACTCTGCGACCTTGAAGTATATCAGTATTTAGCATTCTGTATGGTCTTGTTTTCACTTTAAACATTTTCATAATATAACATCAACACTATCCGACTAATTAATTGTATTAAGATAAGTTAATTAACTTAATGCTGCGATGTTAGTCTGGTTAAAACATGCACACAGTTTGGTTAAGTATTTAATATGTTAACAATGTAGAGCACAAATAATACGAATAAGTGTTTTGTACAGTAGCCAGTGTTTTATTTTGATTGCATATTAAGCCAGTAACGTGTAACACTTAATGCAATTGATCATTCATATAGATTTTAATAGGCAGAGTCAAAAAAAGCTAGACATGAACCTATTTTGTCAACAAGGTAATAAGGTATATTGCCAATTTTGATTTGGTAATAGTTAAGCCGTAATAATTCACGCAATAAATGACAATAAAATGTTATATATGTTAACATTATGTCAAACTATGCCATAATTTATTTTACACCGACAATAGAACTTTTAAGTGTTTTGAAAACGCTAACCAGTGTATCAATGTATTATTAAGACTTTACACTTCTTGATTGTCTTTAAAAGAAATTGATTTTCTAGATAGGAAAAAATTTATAATCGTTGTAAATGCTGTATATATTGTAAAAATGTAATCAAATATATTTTCAGTAAAACAACACATCTAAATACATGATAAGCTCATTTATGATATAAAGTGTACGTAAAACACTTTGGATATCTTGTGTTTCATTTATTTAGAAATAAGATCGACTTTGTTTCATTTCTGAATATATAGAAAGGTATTTATTTATTTTGATTTGGTTACCACATGCGTTTGATTTTGTTTTTCAATAATACTGTTGAACATGATAAAATGAATGTTTTTTTTTATTGAGACAATAAAGAGAATAATTGATAATATGTATATTTAAAGCAACAAGTATTGTTTAAAACACACCTGTCGTGAAATCACTAAGTGACACGTGAGTGGTGAGAATAAGATCATTGACACGAGCAAATCGTTTAAATCTACAATGTTTATAAATGAGATAGAGCATTTAATTACATTTACACTTTATACGGGTATTTGAGGACATCCGTATCAAATCGTTTGAAATTAAACATATTGCCATGTTATTTGAAGTAATGGTTTTAGTTTATTTGTTTAAACATTTATTGGCTATTGACCTTACATCCATAATCCTAAAACAAGCGTAGTCAATCGAACAATTTTGATTTTAAGAGTTTAAACCCATTTATATTTATCGTCTGTTAAATGTATGCAAACATTTGGTAAAAGTGTGAATTTCTGTAATCTCTCGCACGTGCTTTAGATATGACCGCTTTGTTAAGTGTATTTGAATGTACAACCTTACTTTGTATTTTTTGAGACGGACGCGCCCTCAGGTGCGTTCAGAGCTATGTTTGCTCAAATACAACTTTGTGCATGAACATTTTATAAATCCATACATTGGTAATTTTGCTTTTAGGTAGAATCAGTGAAATGTTTAAGAGTTTTAGAGATTTAAATGTTAAAATAAGGAAACTAGACAGCAGAAAATTGCCTAGTCAGACTGCAAGAATATGCCGACTATATACTTTTAGTATAAGTAAGTCATTATGTCCTGTTTTGGGTAAATATCATCTTTAAGAGAAACATCGTATTGTAGATACGCAATTATTTACGTAATAAAGAGAATTAATCTCAATAACACCGATTGTATTATAATTCTTTGATGTGTATTAAACTTTAAATTCATAATGTTACGTATGTTACATTTATACATTAAGCCTATACCATTCCGCCATAGCCAGATATATAATGTAGTAGTGTCTATTAATCATATAAAGAAATTCGGAACTGTTAGATACTGATTTTAATTTCTTCAATCACGAATGCTTGTTGAAATTATACATCTTAAAGATGGGGGTTCCTAGCAGCATGCAAACTTTCATGTTTAACATTAGATGGTTGGTTTTCGGACAATAATACATTTAATCAAGCAACATATAGATAATTCAATCTTCCAACACAATACGTTTTTAGTTATTATTACTTTGTGCTATGGTTCTCGAAATTTTCATGTTAATATGTATTTTCTGCCATTTTGATGTGATATAAGTTTGTATATATTAATTTCAATAAAATGAATTAGTACAACTGTATCGAATGCATGCCTTGCATGAATGAATTTGATTCCAATAATTTAGCCAATTTATATAAATGTCCTAAAACACGACCTACTGTGTGTGATCCTAGACATTTAAATATACAACGGATTAAAAATTGTCATAAACGTTGACATTTTCTAAAGACTGTTTTGATACATATTTAATGTTTGAATACGCACTTATACAACTGTGTGCAATGGGGTGCGTTCAATGTTAAATAGTCTTAATGCGTTTGCAATTGATCAAAAATTACATATTATCAAAAAATAAGTCCAACCGTGTAATTTTGAAAACCTCACAAGAATTAATATTAGGTATTTATACCAGTTTAAAATCTAGATATCATACCAAAGTGCCTTTTCCATTTTAATAGATAAAGCACTTTCTTTGAGAAATCACTTTAATTTGTACTTATGAATGTCATATGTATTTTTTTTTCACTTTTGTGAAAGTGTATTAAGATAAAAACAAGCATAGTATGGCCATTAATTGATCAATATCAAGCGTGGGATTCACGTTTGCTTAAAAAAATGTTACTGAAATACAATTTACCTGCCTACATGAATACGGAAAATATACTTTTACTTATTAACAAATGAAAGAGTTTCGTATTTTTGCTCCGAATTCTTAGGTAATGTGCAAACTGACAATTTTCACTCACGTATATTACATGGAAAGGGTCACGCCAATCTATCAATGAATGTAAATA